CACCCCACATGGTGTGCCATGACAAAAAATACCCAGAGGACACCCACATTCAATACGTACACTAGGTACAGTAAATATATATATATATCCCTGTGAAGGGTACTTTGCAATACACTCAATTTTCTTAATGATCCTGCATGAAACTCTGATGCAGTAAGTGGAGTGGTACTGTTGCCTTAATGTAAAACTGACAGGCAGTGTTTAAACATCCGTATATGTATGTGGAGATCAGTTTGAGCTGACCTGATTTACTGTGGAGGTAATCCTGAGAAAGGAAAAAGCCAGTGTTAAGGTGTAGGACGGGTGGTGTACCATGAAAAAAATACCCAGAGGGCACCCACGTGCAATATGTGCACTAGGTACAGTAAATATAAATGTACCCCTGTGAAGGGTACTCTGCAATATACTCAGTTTCCTCAATGATTCTGCATGCAAAACATCTCCAGCAATGGAGTGGTACTGTTACTTTAATGTAAAAAACTGACAGGCAGTGTTTAAACATCCATTATATGTATGTGGAGATCTAGTTGATCTGGGCTGTTTTACAGTGAATGCAATCCTGAAAGAATACAGTGGTAAAGGTGCAGATCGGGTGATTTCCGATCTGTAAAAGTAGTAGGAAAAAATGGCCGCCGTGAATCTCGCGATACCCGCGAGGTCCAAGATGGCCGCCGTTCGCATGTCAGAAACGCTCTTGCTCGTCGCGGGCCTGCTGCTATGCGCGGCGAAAGCGTCCCGGCCCTCCTCCACCCCATCCCCACACAGTCCCAGCAAATACAAGCAAAAGCACTACAAGGTCCGCGGTGCGTGATGCCCACGGGCCGAGGAGAGAAAAAAAAGAAAAAACGCCTCAGGCAATGCACAATAATAACAAGGGGACAGAGTTAGTGAAAAAACTATAAGACAACATAAATCCAAACAGGGACAGGTATAGGATTGCCAGGGACTATAGTAGTAGATGGTAGAATAGGAAAACAATTACAAGCAATCAATTAAATGAAAGTAATCAGGAGAGGCAAAATACTCTGACCTGTGCAGGCTGGAACAGCAAAGAAAGAGGAAATGATGTCACTGTCAGGGCCTTTTATGTGCCATCTGACTTTTTTCTGGTTGGTTGTTACTGTTTCTGTGCTGCTGGAGATTTTCAGTAAAGAGAGTTATGCAAATAGGAAGCCTCCTGTCATTTGGTAAAATTCAACATCTCTACAAATAGATAATTATCTAAACAATTCTAATATCCCGACAATATCACCGGAACAACTAGCTTTGGGCCCAGATGGATGTACGAATTTCTTCAATGAAAACAAGCATGGATGTAACAACGCTTTTTTTTTTTATTGGGGTATATACCTACAATTAGCTTGGAAAAGTCACAAAAGCTCCTGTTTGCCACATTTGCATGTTATCCCTTTATTCCTTAGCCAAGACTTTCTGTTGCTGTCCAATCAAAAACTTTTCAATGCAGCTGAATGAGAAGTCTTTGCAAGGCAAATGCTCTGGACAAATGAGTTTAGCTCAGCTAGGAAGTAACAGATCTCATTGCTTACCATGGGGGTGTAACGAGTAGTTAACTTACAAATTTGCCAATTTTTATTGAAACTGCACTTTTTGTAAAATGGGGAAAAAAGGAATTATTTTCACACATAATGCTCTTCAGCAATTTTAAGTTCTTTAGATGTATGCAGTGTTATCATACAGTCTATGTTTGAGTACCATTACCAGACGTTTCACTAAATGTCAAGGTATTAAGACCGAGTGTATTCTGATACACATCTGAGTGTGTCTGGCACTGGGAACAGGTAGGAAAAAAAAGGACAGATGGAATAGGGCCCTAAATAAGGACACACTATCTATCTAAAATTAAACAGTTCTTTTGTTTATTTTTGAACCCATACAAGTGTAGTACTTCATATTGAGAAATAATGTAAACATTTAACCACAATCCCAGAGGACCCCAGAAAATCCTGCACCAGGAAGGTATGGGAAAAGGAGGGTGGCTAAACAAGAGAAAGAGAGAGAAAGAGAGAGAAAGAGAAAGAGAGAGAGTGAGAGAGAGAGAGAGAGTGTGTGAGTGCACTCATCTACCAAAACATTGAAACCACTGACAGGTGAAATTAGTAACATTGATTATATTGTTGCAATAGCACCTATCAAGGGGTGGGATATTTTAGGCAGCAAGTGAGCAGACAGTCACGTAAAGCAAAAGAAAATTCCGTTAGGCTTGTCAGTAAGAGCAGAACAATTAAGAAACCACTGTGATACTCTGCAGAAGTGGCCAAAATAGTAAAAACAAAAGTTAGCATTTAGTAATTATAAAAAACCCAGAGTGAGGAAGACAGACAGATCTATAAGATTAGGCAGAAAGAGTCTAAGCAAGTTATAAGAGCTTCCGAATCACACACACACACGAGAAAATAGCACAGTCAGTAAAAAAGGGGGACAAAACATTTTTTAGATACATAAATGAAAAAAGGAAAGTAAAACAAGGATTAGTTAGATTAAAAACAAAAGAAGGAAGGTATGTAGAAGAGGATAAAGGACTAGCTGACTGCCTCAATTAATATTTTTGTTCGGTATTTATAGCTGAAAATTAAGGAAAGGGACCTCAGTTAGGAAAAAAGTCAAATGCGTCATTTGTTACATGTGAGTTTATAGAGAAAAAGGTGCTATTTCAGCTGTCAAAAGTAAAGACAAATAAGTCGAGGAGGCCTGATGGGATACACCCAAAGTTATTAAAAGAGCTTAGTGGTGTACTAGCAAAACCATTAACAGATTTATCTAACCAATCATTGTTAACAGGAGCAGTCCCAGAAGATTGGAAATTGGCGAATGTTGTGCCCATTCACAAGAAAGGTAGGAGTCGTGCAACTATAGGCCAGTAAGCCTTACTTCAAGGGACACTGTAGGCACCCAGACCACTTCTGCCCATTGGAGTGGTCTGGGTGCCAACTCCCACTACTCTTAACCCTGCAAGTGTAATTATTGCAGTTTTTTATAAACTGCAATAATTACCTTGCAGGGTTAACTCCACCTCTAGTGGCTGTCTACAAATACATTCAAGGATGGACAAATTGTGTATCCTCAACTGACAAAGCATTGGGGCAGTTTTACATACCTCCTAACATCGGTAAGTCCCAGATTGCATCACTAGTTCTGGCCATGGGGGTACCTGCACAGAAAGTGTACCACCTGAAAAGGTGTGTATTTACCAAATTCTACCTGCCAATCATTTTAGCCAGCCCACTGAGAGTTGACCCTGCAAGGAGCAGTGCTCTCTGCAGGGTCCTAGTGCCCTTTTTCATAGTCCGAGCATGTCTGCTATGATTGTTGAGGACAATTCCCTTGTGTCCCCAAAAGCGGAACACAAAGGGAATAAGGCGGGACAGGACACAAAAATTTAGACTAACCCGCCAAAATCGGGAGAGTTCAGAGGACTGGTTTTATGAGGTTTAGGATCTACCTTTTGGCCAACCCTCTCTTGTTAGGTCTGGTTAGGACCTTAACACTGGCTGTAAACTGAGACGTAGCAACAAAATTAGGCCAGAGGGAGGCAATTTTCACCTGGTGCTAAGTGAGGGAATTCCGCATGGCCTTTCCCCCCTACGCCAGGCACCCTGCCAGTGACAGCAGCAAGGCCACCATAATCTGTCAGTGTCCTTGGCAGCGGGTGTGCGTATGTTTGCCTGTGAATGAGTTTCAGCATGTGTGTATATCTGAGTGTATTTGGCACTGAGAAAAGAGGGGCATACGGAGAGAAAATTACAGATGGTATAGGACCCTAAATAGGGACACTTGGGAGGTATTGCTACACCATATAAACTTGACTACTTTATTCCCTGTGTTATATTGTGGTGGTCATCCACAAACAACTAAAGCTCCCTACCCGTGTACAAATCTCAGTATCATACAATTTTAATATGCTTTTATGTAATTCAAACAAAGAGGATCTTTCACACAGACAATGAAACCATTGAGAGGTATGGCAATGCGCAAGTTGGATTTTGGAACGCGGAAGTGTATTCTGAAACGCACATTAGACCAATAGGATGGCTCCTTGGGAACACGATGGCTGTGTTTTGGAACGCATGTGTTACACGACAGCGGAAGTGAGAATCCTCAGCTGAACTCCTAGTCACTGCAGCAGGTACTCTGACTGCCTTTCTCGTCCTTAAACGCCATGATACCACTCCTGCTGCTTCTTAGTCCATGTCTTCTCCTCCCTGGGACGGGGGCAATATCCTTTTATGTGCCTCCTTATGGCAAGAAGTGCTTGAAGGAGGAAATTCATAAAGATGTGCTTGTGACTGGCGAATATGAAGTGTCTGAACAACCAGGGGTTTCGTCAAACCTTAAGGTATGTATTCAATCGTCATGGAGTTAATCTCTTGTCCTAGGAAACGTTTGATGACGAGTAGGGGCAGAAATATTAACATGAGGTAGGTTTATTGCCATGCTATTATTCATCCCTCATCACCCCAGTGTAAAGTTTCTGTATATATGGAATCAGAATACTGTGTTCCTGGGATCTTGTATTTATACATCTGCAATATGTATTGCAAGGATAGGAAATAAATACATCATTTGGGAACATAATTGACTATTTTTATTGTCGAATAATATATTAAAACAGAATTTTGATGCTTTTTTTTTTTTTTTTTTTTTACATTTTTTGACACATTTTAACAGCACAATTTACCATGTTTTATGCACTATTTTAAAGGGCAATGGAAATTCAAGATCTGAATATACAAATTGGCTTAACACCCATGATCTCTCTGTTGTTGCATGAGTTTATTGAAATAATTATTTTAGATTCAGTATGCCATGTAAATGTATTTTACCTGACATGAATCCTTGAATCTAGTCCTTATAGTGATCTAACAAAGTGTGGCAAAGTCTGTTGCAGCACTGCAAAAATGAAAATAATATATCAAACAGGGAAAAAATATATCCTCTCAACATTGATTCAGGTCCACGGAATATTGTGCAAGGAAAATAATTGTTTATATTGAATTGATACGAGATTAGCTGTTTGGCTTGGGATTTGAAATTTCCATTGTCAGTTCTCCACAATTCTGTATATTAGTATGTAGCCACATGAGTCTTAAACAGGAACCTGCCTTTCCTTGTGATAGTGGGGGGAAAACCCCCAAAACATTTTCTTCTTTGCTGCAAAAAGTACACTTAAGTATTTTTGTTGTTAATCACAAGAAAATTGCAAGTAAGTAAAACGTACAAGGAGGAGATTAAGACCTTAATGCAATTCTTGCTGAAAGTTCCTTACCCACAAGCCATGGTCCTTTTACCCATTCACTGACATCTAAGACCAAACATGCCATACTAGCTTGTTGAGTGCTTTACAGGAATTTGCACACAATTCTGGTTCTAGTCGTATGTAAAATTCCAACCATGCATACTCTGATAGCCCCCGTTCATTAATAAAGTCATGCAGCTTTATCTTTTGTTATTTACAGTGTATGTTTTGAAAATCGTCAGCCTCGTCCAGGTTTTAGTCCACCTTATACCTTGACATCGCTGGTGCACTGCAGATGTGCATGATATTTGCACAGCACACTCACATAATTTTTTTTTCTTTGTGCAATAAAAGCATGGTTATGTGTTGGGCGCATAGAAGACGATTATATAGATGAGTGTGGGTTTCTTTTTTTATTTTCACATCACAGTTCTCTTCACATATATTTTGTATTATTTATTATTGCATTGGATTTTAAATATGTATGTATAATATGTGCAAAGTGTGTGTGTAGAGTACATCGGTGATATTTCTGATTTTATAGGCACTTCCTTTTTAAAACCTTCCTGTTCAGTATCATCATGCACAAGATGAGGGGAAAACAATATACACATACACACCAGGGTGTGATTGGTGCTGCTGGTGATACAAGTGCTGCTATTACCAGTGCCCATGTCACTTATAAGGCATAAAACATGTAAAAAGAAAATAAAGGTGACAGCACATCTTATACAACACCAAAATACACAAGTGAAGAGAGTATACACGTATACAGGTATGTTTCCAAGTCTGGGTACAATCTGCAAGAACTAAGACTTCTCATAGAGTAGTATGCAATTTACCAATATAATTTATTAAGGGCAATATTATTTACAGCTATTGAGGAGCTGCAGTATTGAGGAGAAAGTTGAGATGAACATTTGCCACAATGGAGGATATATATCAAGCGATTGGAGTTTGAGCCTGTTGTATAAGGCTCTACAGTATGTGAGTGAATTTTCTTTTGCCTTCAGTAACCTATGCTGGTGAATTGCATACCACCATATGGAAGGTTTTTTTCCTCTGTTTTGTTCTTGTATTTGCAGAGTGTACTCAAATTTGGAGTATATCAGTATATACTTACATTTGTGTATTTGGTGTGGTATGATGTGTGCTGTCACCTTGGTTTTCTTTTTACATCATCGTGCACAGTATGATGACACTGAATGCAGCCGATGCTTGTTCATGAGACACATTAGATTTAAGATTTAATGCTTTTCTGTATACGAAGCCTTGGATTGGATCAAGATCTTCTGTCATAATGATCTCAGAAGAGGCGGAGGAGCTGCTGCTGAACACTCTAAGGTTAAAAATAAATATATACTGTTCCTTTAGCTTAATGGTTTTCTAAACCAGTCCTCACACCTCCCCCCCACATCAGTCCAGGATTTAGAGACTAACCAGTTGTCTTTTTAAAAACACTTAAGTTAAGACACAACTGGGTGATGCTTATCTTGGACTGGTAGGGGTGGGGCATGAGGACTGGTTTGGGCACCACTGTTTTAGACCATTGACTAGTGAATTCACTTTAAATTCCGAACAACTTCCACTTTAGTGGATAGCCCATTTAGTTTGTTAGGCCCATAAGCAAAAATCCATATTCCTATTTCATTTGTAAATAAATGTATTGTTGGCCTGTGTGTTGGAACTTAAGTATATCAACCGATAAGTGTGGCTTTCATAGTTCAATTTCTTTTTTCTTTTATTCAGGTGACTGATTCTTCAAATCACATTCTTTATTCTAAAGAGGATGCAAAGAAAGGAAAATTTGCCTTTACTACTGATGATTTTGATGTGTATGAAATCTGTTTCGAGAGCAAGAGTCAAACAGGTTTGTTTTCCTTAAGTATCACATAGTTTTGAGGGACTCTGTTGTTTTGTGCATACCAACATTTACAGCATAAATGGCTGTTCTTTCATAATTTTTCTCATTTAAAAAACAAAAAAACAAAAAAAAAACCTGCAATAATTAGCTCATGCATTCTTTAAAAAAACAAAAAAACAAAACACCAATTTGGTAGATGTAACTATTATATTAATATAAGCACAATACACTACCTAAAAGGGTGGGTCTTTAACATTGTAAATAATATATTTATTAAAGGACCACTATAGGCACTCAGACCCCTTTAGCTTAATGAAGTGGTCTGGGTGCCAGGTCCATCTAGGATTAACCCTTTTTTTTTTTCAAGAGTGGCTGTCTCTCGACAGCCGTTAGAGGCGCTTGCGTGCTTCTCACTGTGAAAATCAACTGTCTGAATGTGCGCGCGGCTCCTGCCGTGCATGTGCATTCAGCCGATGACATCGCTATGGAGGAGGAGAGCTCCCCGCCCGGCGCTGGAGAGCCTGGCGGGAGGGAGACCCTGAGGGTGGGAGCACCCTCAGGGCACTATAGTGCCAGGAAAACAAGTATGTTTTGGTCCTTTTAAGCATTTTTTTTTTTTTTTTTTTAAACATGGTGAGGAGTTATGTTTTTTGATATTCCATAGATTTGACTAACCAAAACTTTCTTCTCATTTTTGCTCCAGGTAACCTTAGATTTCCAGACCAGCTCATTATCCTTGATGTCAAGCATGGTGTAGAAGCCAAGAATTATGAAGATGTAAGTACAACACACATTCTATCATATGAACTTTATTGCAATATCTGATGCACAAAGGAAATCCTCTCCATCTTCACTTCTGTATTTTGCGATCAATTTTGTATTCATATATCACGTCTGAAATGCACTAGCCTTCAAAGACTTCTTTCGACTTCCCTATGCCTCTTTTTGTTCTCACATTAATTTAACATTTTTTATTCCATGTAAAACATTCCTGAGTTTTGTACCCTGTGTCTAATTAAACCTTTGCCAAAAACTTAATAGAGAATGCTTTGTTTCTGAACTATAGCTGGCCAAAGCTGAGAAGCTGAAACCTCTGGAAGTAGAACTGAGACGGCTAGAGGATTTGTCAGACTCAATTGTAAAGGACTTCACATACATGAAAAAGAGAGAAGAGGAGATGAGGGATACAAATGGTAACTATATGGGAAGCAAATGCAATGCAGCTCAGTGAGACGTCTTTACAAGGCAAATGCTCTTGAGTTTAGCTCCACTGAGCTAAACAATCAGGAAGTAACAGGACTAGTTGTCTGACAGCCAGGGGTTGTAACCGGGTTAAATTATAAAAGTGGTCATTTCTATTAAAATCTGAACTTTTTGTAAAATGGAGAAAAAAAACCACTTGTCATGCATAAAGCACTTCAGCAAACTAAATGGCTTTAGGGGTTTGGAATGTTCCTTTTAAGTGTATCCTATCATTTCACCTTCTGTTGGTGGCATTGAAAGCAAAAACATGTCAAGTCACATATAGTTAGGGTTTTTTATTTTTATTTTATTTGGTTCCCTTTTCAGCTAGTGTAAAATGCTATTGGATTTTGTTGAATCTCAAATTATATCTTTTGTTATGCAGCCACCAATTTCTGCAGTTAAATTGTATTAAGTAATTTGCCCATTGTGGTACATTACGCTCTTGAAAAATTTCTGCACCTTGAAATATTCTATACTTTCTTTATTTCCAATATTTTCTAAACATTAAATCGGTTAAAGAGACTCTCCACCGATATAAAAAAAACAAAACAAATATTTCACTATTTAATAGATGTTACATAAGAAACAATGCATGTATTTTTTTTTTCTGCATGTTTTCTTTGGTGGTTTATGAATATGCTGCATGCAAAAACTGCATTTCTGCTCCTCCCCTTTATACCTTTATACTTTGTCTGTGCCTGCGAATTGACCAGTCTGAAGCTTCTCAATGTGAAGCCTCTGTGGTTAAGTCAGGAGTAAGTGTGCACGTGCCTGTACATTGATAGACCTATCATTGAGCTGTTGCACAGCTCATTGAGAGGGATTATCAGACATGCCTGCCACTTCTTTAAAGGATCACTATAGGGTCAGGAACACAAACGTATTCCTTACCCTATAATGTTAAAACCACCATCTAGCATCCCTGGTCCCCTCATGCCTCCCTACAAATAGCAAAATAATACTTGTTTTCAAGTCTGGAACTGCTAGCTCTGGCTCTGTTTCCTTTAGACCTGCCCACTGCCTGCTGACATCAGCAGAAGTGGTAGCCTGATCCAATCACAATGCTTCCCCATAGGATTGGCTGAAAATGACAGAGGCAGATCAGGGGCAGAGTCAGCATAAGTCAAACACAGCGCTGGCCAATCAGCATCTCCTCATAGAGATGAATTGAATCAGTGAATCTCTATGAGTAAAGTTAAGTGTCTGCATGCGTCAGAGCATCTTTAAAACGGCAAGTATTGTGAGATGTTCTCAGTATGCAGTGGTCAGTAACTACCAATAGTGGTGTAAGGAAAGACAACTGTTAAACAGGTTTTTAGGGCCATGGGCGCCCAAGGCTCATTGATGCACATTAGGAACAAAGGCTAGCCCATCTGGTCCAATCACACAGAAGAGCTACTGTAACTCAAATTGCTGAAAAACTTTAGTTATTTTAGTGAATAACCCTGAATGAAATGCTACAATGTTGTGAGTAATATACTCATTTTAAGAAAAGGCCTCTGCCTACTTTCGTCTACACTAGCTTCTAATAAGAGTAATAATTGTTAATAGAAATAAAGGTGGTAGGTAACAATAGGTGGAGGGTTGTATGTCCATTCCCTTGACCACAACCACATATAACCAGATAAGTATATCATTTTTATTTTTATCCCATTTTTGCATATTATGTTTTTATTCCTATCCATTTCTTTTATTAGAAGTTACTATTGACGAATGTCGGTATAACTCTGCTGCCACTCAAAGGCATTTCTCAATATTACAGTATATTATTCACTACATTATATAAATTCATATATTTTGCTTGAGTATCAACAGCACTCTTTTGGTCTCTATTGGTACTTTAAATACAGTCAATAAAGATTAAGTTTTATTATGTAAAAAAAATCCCCTGATATACTCAAACATTCTCTGTTATATTCTTGTAATTCATATATTTGTTTCCTTAAAGGACCACTATAGGCACCCAGACCACTTCAGCTTAATGAAGTGGTCTGGGTGCCAGGTCCATGTAGGGTTAACCCTATCTGCTATAAACATAGCATTGAGAATGCTTTCCTATGGACTGACTGAATGCGTGTGCGGTGCTTGCCGTGCATGCCCATTCAGCCAATGATGTCCGAAGGAGGAGAAGAGTTTCCAGCGCCGAAGGGGGCCCGGCGCTGGAGAAAGGTAAGCGTTTAACCCCTTCAGCCCGGCGGGAGGGGGGCCATGAGGGTGGGGGGGACCTATTAATACTATAGTGCCAGGAAAACGAGTTTGTTTTCCTGGCACTATAGTGGTCCTTTAAATACATGGACAAAGCACTAAAATTGTGCTATTTGACTTTGGCTGTGTTCCAGACAGTCAAAGACATAACATCAATTAAAAATAATCTCTTTCACAAAATATGTTAAAAATATGCAGGTAAACTGCAGCACAGACTATATATCTAAAACAATCTTGGATCTTTACTACATCCTTATAGCGGAACTGTCACTTCCTGTCTTTTAACACAAACAAATAGCTGACTTGAAGTTGACTAAAATTCTCTTCTTCATATTTTAAGTTACATGCTTTGCTGGCAGAGGCCTGGAAATGTGTATAAATATGTTAAATGTAGCAGTGCATACCTACGTCATTGTAAGAGAGAATACAGGTCATGCATGCAAGTGTACAGGATATACGGTTAGGTGTCTGAGCCCATGTCTGAGGTATCATAAGTCAGAGATCTCGTGTAGCCTCTAAATTGCAGTAAGGTTTTTACATACCACCGCTTCTCTATTCACCTCAGTTAATGCTGTAAAAGCACAGACTGGGGTGAAGTGAACAAAAACGAATCCAGCACATGAAAAGTTAATAAATCTGGACTTTTGGGACTTCACGTGTGCTGGATTTGTTTTTGTTGGCTGTCTTGGTATCTCTGAGTTTGCCACTCTGGATCTTCTTCAAACACCACAAGCAACACAATTCCTCCCCCTATGGTGAGTGCTGTCTATTTTGTTTTTCTCATCTTTTTTGGAACGGGCAGTTCCTTTTTAAAGCTTGAGATGCAGTCTTATGTCCACAAGTACAACTGTTGAAAATTATTTTTCATATTAGTTTGGGAAGACATGAGCTATAAGACACATATTCAGGGTTAGTTTTCATTCGTATAGAGTACAGCTGTAATAGACGTTTAAATCATTATAGATAAGATAATAACTCTCCTAATTTATTAGTGTAAATAGCAATTTATTCCACAGTGTTGTCTCATACTAATTTAAATTTACGCTTACTTTGCGTAAGGCTTAGTGGTTTCACATTTATAAAGAAAAAGACTCACGTCTCTGTAGATCTTATAACAATGTTATTTACTTCTTAACATATTTTCATATTTCTTTTTAATGAAAGAGCTTTAATTTTTATTGCGTGTGGTTTGTCCCCACAAAATGAGCAGCTGAGAGACTCCTTATTTGCACATCATTTGTTACTTCATTCATACCGGTTTAAGTCTTTTAAAAAAGGAGTTGTATTTCATATGTCTTTAAATAAATCTCCAAACAAAGTAAATTCAATGTGTGAGTAGTAACTACTCCACATTTAACCCAACATTTAGAAATCTTTTATGTCCTGTTGATTTCGTAAGGCACATGGTCGTATAAACATTGCACTCCTATTTGACATACTTGTGTGCACTTTCACCATACTAATGATGACATAGAGTTGCCTGATTGACAGCCTTTATAGCCTGTCTTGTACTGGCAGCCATTTTTACAAGTCGCTGCCATAGTATTTGTAATGAACTGTGTCCCCCCAAAGAGCCTTCTCAGTGTAGGTAACACCAGGGAGAGGTGCGAGCCCTAGCCAACACTCTGCAACTAGCAGGCTGCTTCACAACTGCAAGGGCTGTGCCGACCAATGGGAGAAGCGCTACCATTCAAATTGGTTTCACGCCCTTTCTGCTGATTGGTCGGCAAAACACCTCCCATCCCTGAATGCTGATTGGCCGCTGTTTTCATTGGCCTAAACCAAGTGATCTTGTGGAACTGTTTTCGGATATGTACAGAGCCTCGAGCCCAGACTTTACACAATGATTTCTCGGGCTCTGTACATCCGATCACTCAGTCATTTGCAGGGAGCATAGCTCGCTCGGACCAGGAGCTATCCACTGATGTAAGGCATGTGGGGATGCATGACTGTGTATTTTGTGGATTTCGTGTGTGTATCTCCCAGACACAGCGACGCCGGGGCGGGCTTATGTTTTACATTACTGTAGATGGAGACACTCTGTGGGGTCTGTGCATTAATACTGTGTATCTGGCTTTAAATATACATGTTGTACCCTTCATCAAGTCTCGGCTGATGTTTGGGTAGCAAAGAGCTATAATCACTGCTCTGGGATCCGTTACAGTATTCTAATCTTAGTGATGAATGCACTCTGGACACTCTAAGCACAAACCATTTTCTTATCATGTTGTTATCCTACCAAATGTTGCACTTGCCCAGGCGATAGTGATTTATAGTTATGCAGGGAGAAAACACTGGGGGACCTGACCGCTTTCCTTTCGTTGTATAGCTTTTGAAAAAAAGCTAAAAAGGCATTGCAACACTGTTAAATGTTTGTCACAAAAAAAAGAAGCGTACGGTAAAACTTTGTTGCTGTGGCTTGATAAAAAACAATGGGGGCACAGAAGGCTAGAGAATAAGGTTGAATGGAAGATAGATATATATCTATATCAAATGAGACGTGGATATTAATTTTGTATTACAATATTACTTTTTTACCTGTATCACTTTTTTTTTTTTTACTGTCTCCTCAGAGTCTACCAGTCTACGAGTCCTCTACTTTAGTGTGTTTTCTATGTTCTGCCTTGTTGCTCTTGCAACCTGGCAAGTATTCTACCTCAGACGATTCTTCAAAGCAAAGAAACTCATCGAGTAATTTTGGAAATGAATCCAGAGACATCACTGCATTATTCCTGGCACATACTTTTCAGCAGAGCTCTATGTAAAACACCATCGTTTTTTCATGGTAGCCACCAGTACGATCCAAAGATGTGGGGTCACATGGAAACTAGGTCAACATATTGTATGCCACCTCATTGTTTTGTATAATTCTCTTCTCCCACTATGGATCTTTCATTCGGCCTGTCACACTTTTCAATAATTGTGCTATTTTATAGATATATTATTTTTTACCCCTTTTTATTTAGTGTTTTTTGTCCCTCTCCCCCCAACATTTCCCAGATGTTTACACAGGCATGTCTGTGTGACATAGATAATTAAGTTACATTAAGTATAGCCAAATGGTACTAGTCAGAATGGGAAATTTGCGGGCAAATGAAATGTTTTGGACATGCTTTTTTGATTTTTATTTAAATTGGGAATATTGGGTGTGTGCATATTCTTGAAATAAAAGGAGAAAAGGAGAGTATTTTTCCAGACTTTCTTCATTAGAATGCTTGTGTGTATTTGAACAGCCAGTGCCAATTGTTTATTTTATTTAAAATGCATATGTAACTATACTCATTTTGACATGCTCTTTGTTGGTGATACATTTTTTTGGCAATGCACAATTAATACTTAAAGTTTTGTGGTAATTTTGTAAAACATATGTGGCAATATACTGCTTATCACCACATTCCATTTTATTCCATTAAATTGTGTTTGTTGACCTCAGTGAAGGTGCTAAACTAGAAAATAAAATGTTAAAGGGACGCTATAGTCACCAAAACAACTTTAGCTTAATAGAGCTGTTTTTGTGTATAGTTCATGCCTCTGAAGTTTTACTGCTCAATTCACTGCCATTTAACCCCTTAAGGACCAAACTTCTGGACTAAAAGGGAATCATGACATGTCACACATGTCATGTGTCCTTAAGGGGTTAATTTCATATTTCTTGTTTCCTGCACTGTCAATAGCTTTCTAGACCTTGCAGGATCCTCCCGTGTGTGGTTAAAGCTCATTTCAAACAGCAGAAGATAAAAACTTCTGAAGCAAGTTAACATCTGATTAAAAATTAAACGATTTTTTTTCATGCAGTCACAGCCAGGAAAGGCATGGCAAGGGCTGCATAAACAGAAACAAAAGTGATTTAACTCTTAAATTACAGACAATTGAGCAGTTAGACTGCAGGTGCATGACCTATAAACGAAAGCTGCTTGATTAAGATAAAGTAGTTTTGGTGACTATCGTGTCCCTTTGAAGTGATAGGAACACTTACTGTGAACTCTTTTTATAGAGACACTCTGATCTAGGTCAATCGCCCAAAAGCTTTGCACACATCTCTCAAAAGAGAGATATTGATAGTTGGGGAGGGCATCATCAAAATGACAAGTGTGACAGAGCTCCCATACTTTGACTGAGTACGTCTGCCAAGTCTGTTTCCGTGCCACTATCAGGGACCCTGGAGCGCTTCAAACCCAGTCACTGAAGCTTGACTTGTGTCTCTTCCACCCTGGACCAGGCTGTAGCTACCTCCTTCCAGGCAGGAATCACCCCTTGCCTATTCCTCTTCAGGCTGTTCTTCCCAAGTGGGTATCAACAACTCTGCTTATAGTAATTACAGCTCCTTTAGCTATTGCCTTCATAGAGGCAGTTGTTGCACTTGTTCCCCAAGTTACAGGAACATGCAGCCAGACAACAGGCCAGAAGACTCTGTTACTGGGATCCCTGAAGAAATCCACACAGGACACAAAGTTCCAAAAGGAGAACTAACATACAATTCTTTAGTTTGGACTTAAATAAATAAAAGAAAAAACTAATTAGTGCAGGACCATGTGACAACAAACTTAATAAAAGTAGAGAGCTTACAATATTCAGATAAAACCCATGCATCTCACATCAGAAACTGGAAAACGCATGTGCTCTTGTTTAGTGTAAATACAGAAAGCACGGGGACAAAGTGAAATCCTACTTAATTTTGCTGAATTGGATGGCCACAACTAACACCAAACAAAACTGCAAATAAATAAAAAGATAAAGTCAAAGTATTTAATATAAATGTCTTTCACATTTCATCTGTTAATACAGACTTCTTCAGGGAAACTCGTAACTCCTTGGTTATTGAAGGTAGATTTATTGTGGTTTTGTTAAAATGTGTTGTCATTAAGTCCTGCACTATTTAGTTTTTTCTTTTATTTATAGGAGTCCAGTATAATTGTGAAGAGACTAAAAAACGTACTAAAAACAAAAAAAGACTAAAAACAAAATAGGAATTCCTGCAATCACCAAAAAAAATATAGATCCCGAGTCACTGTAATGCTATAAACAAATTATTAATAATAGAAAGAAATAGTATAAATAAGTAAATAGAGGGGAGGACTCACAATACAAAATGGTCCCTAAATGAACATGCCTCAATAAAGATTCTCAATTAATCATAAATGTGTACTAAAGTGATCACTATTATGAAAATAATGCTAGTCAAGAAGCTAAAGAAAATAATGGTGAATATAAAGACGACAAAAAATGAAGAATAATAAATAGTATGAAAACAAAAACAAAGGCAAAAGGGAAAAGAGATGAGGAGGGGAGTTTTATTTATTTATTAACTCTCTTTATTGCAGCCAACTCAAATAAATGGGGAGAAAGAAAAACCCTAATTTAAACCTCTTGGATTAAGAGTATTTAGTTTGTAAATCCATCTACATTCTCTTTGGCGAAGGATTTTATCAAAGTCTCCCCGTCTCTGTTCTCGTTTAACCAGTTCCAGGCCGCAAAAACGTATATCTTTGGAAGATCCCCCATGTTGTTCTTTTAGATGTCTCGAAATAGGGGTATCGAGTCGATTTTTCGGGGATCTAACATGTTCTTTGATACGCTCTTTAAATTGCCGGAAGGTTTTACCAACATACATCAATTTGCAGCTGCATATTAGAAGATAAACCACCCCTGTAGAATTGCAATTAAAAAAGTGGGTGATTTGGAAGGAATGCAAGCCTTCACTATCACTCACTTTTTTGGAATCCCTAAGGATAAATTTACAGGCTACACACCTACCACAGCCAAAGGATCCTACAGGCATTCTACGTCCAAGCCAAGTGGTCTTACAAGATTGTTTGGCCACAAAATGGCTAGGAACGAGAATATCTCGTAGGTTCTTTCCCCTCCGGGCTGTAATGGTGACTTGTGGGCCCAGGACTTCTTTCAGGTGAGTATCCTTAAGTAGAATGGGCCAGAATTTTTGGATAGAGTGTTTCACCTCATCCCAGCCAGTATCAAAAGTGCTGATCATCCTAATCGTTTTGTCGGCAACTTTGTTTGGCACAGGAGGGTTGTCCTATCAGTTGTTAATGCTCTAAAGTAGGCCCTTTTAAGACACCTGTTGGGGTAGCCCTTCTCTCTGAATTGTTGTCTTAAGATTCTAGCTTTAATTTGGAAGTCCTTAAGGTCAGTACAATTACGACGTAGTCTAAGGTACTGGCCAGTAGGGATCCCTTGCTTTAGAGGTTTAGGATGAAAACTATTCCATCTTAGAAGAGAGTTGGATGCGGAAGGTTTCCTAAAGAGAGTAGTCTCCAAAGAACCATTCGTTGAGATTGAAATCGTAAGGTCATGGAAGTTTAGAGATGAGCCCCCAAACTCTGCAGTGAACCTAAGATTATCCTCGTTGATGTTCAGAAGGGACACAAAATGGTCAAACTCCTTTTTATTACCCTGCCACACTAAGATGACATCATCGATGTATCTGTACCAAAAAAGAATTTTGGACAGAAAAGGTGACAAATCGATGGATGACTTAATCTGTTCCTCCCACCAGCCTAGATGAAGGTTGGCATATGAGGGTGTGCAAGCCGTACCCATTGCTGTGCCTCGTGTCTGGTGGTAAAATTTATTATGGAACAGAAAATAGCTGTGGGAAAGGATAAATTTCAATAGTTTAAGGGTAAAAGAGGTATGTGCTTGTAATTCAAGACCTCTTTTATCAAGGAAATATTTGACATGTTCAATGCCCCTGTGGTGTGGTTCAATATGCAGATTAGAGAGGAGGGAAAGTGACTGTTTCGTATCCCTAATATACGAAGGTAAAAGTTCGACAAAGGGTATAAGGATCTGGTCAATATAGAAACTCCCATTTTGGGTTAAATTGTCAACACCAGACACTATGGGCCGACCAGGTGGATCCTCAAGGTTTTTATGGACTTTCGGTAGGCAGTAGAAGGTTGCTATCCTCGGGTGACGATTCAAGATGAAGAAATATTCTTCATCAGATAGCAACCCTCCACTGCGACCTTCGTCCAAAATATCCTTATAGCTTACGAGGAAAGTATTGGTTGGGTCGGACGGTAGGATCGTATAAGTGTCTGTGTCTTCTAATACATTTAAGACCATACGTTCATACTTAGCAATGTCCATAACCACTACATTACCCCCTTTATCTGCCTGTTTAATGATCAATTTGTCATTATCCCTAAGTGATTTGAGGGCAGTTTGTTCCTTTTTAGACAGATTATCATTAGGAAAGGCGCAGAAGTGTTTACTCTCAATGCCATCAATTTCACTTTTGACAGCCTCAAGGAAAAGATCAATATTCCTAAACGATGCGAAGTTGGGAGTAAAGCGGCTTTTAGGTTTAAGGTTTGTTTGAGTCGAAAGTGGTTGGACGTCATTCTCATCTAAAAGAGAGACTAAGGTATTGAGACAGTCAATGTCGATGTTAGAAAGACCCAAAGAGCGTGCTCTCTTTTCTTTATTTAGTTCGTGAAACTTATGTAATGCCAGTTTGCGTACAAATAAATGTAAATCCTTAATCCAAGTAAATCTATCAAAGGCTGGAGTAGGTACAAAGGAAAGCCCTTTTTCCAAAATGCCACACTGAGATTGATCAAGTTTACAAGAGGATAGATTAATAACTTGTGATTTGGGAATGTAGGAGGCTTGTGTATCAGAACTAGATTTCAATAACGTCTCCTTCTCCTCCCTTCTCGTCCCCCGGTTCCTGAATTGATAGCGTGTTTGGTAGTTTGGGAACGCTTCCTGCTGATCCACCTCTAAAAAATCAACCCCTTTCTTTTTAAGTGTTTGGGGTTAGGCCCCTATACCTCCTGTAACCTCTATAGGTAGAGGGTGTGATTTTTTTCATCCCCTCTCCCTTTTTCTTTTCTCCACTAAATATAAGCTTAGAACGAGAGAACCAATATACCTACAGCTAATAAAGATGAATTTGGTGATGGCTTCATATGCTTGAAACCACCATCTAAATTTTATTCAACAAATGATAAGGGTGAGAATCTACAGGTCTTCATAGATGTGTTATTACAGGAATTTGAAAATATCACATCTCAGCCACCTAAAAATACACAATTGAAGAATTGCCCACCTAGGAGTCCAGACACCAACGTGCATCCAATTTGAAAAAGAAACTAGTACACCATCATATCAAAAAAAGACCAAAAACGCTGGGAGGAAGAGGTCAGAAAATGGAGACATCACCTCCCAGTGCCCATTGTCTCCCACAGCCTTCTGTGACAGCCTAGATTTTAAACAAACTGCAAGCAGATTTCGCGAAAATGGCAAAAGAAATAAAGGCGGACTTACAGGCCTTAGGGGAACGCACCGACTACTTGGAGAATAAAACAGAGGAGATCATCACAGCTCATAACAACGTGGCTGCGGCCCATGAAACTATGGACGAGAAAATAACATCAATCATCACGAAGCTGGCTGATCACGAAGACAGAGACTGGCGGAATAACATCCGCATACACGGCGTCCCTTACGACATCAGCTCTAACGATCTGGGAACATATGTCAAAAAGATATTCCAACTACTAGTCCCAGAACTCCCAGAAGAGGCACTACTCCTGGACAGGATCCACCGGCTGCCTAGGCCCAAGCACCTCCCGACTTCCATGCTGCGAGATACAATAACCACAATACACTATTATACCACAAAGGAGGCAATAATGCAAGCATCAAGATGGCAACCGACACTCCCTGACTCTTACAGCAAAATCCAACTGTTTACAGATCTTTCAGCTACTACACTGCCTATGTGGAAAACCTTCCAACAAATCACCAGAACCCTTAGAGTGGCTGAAATACTGTACAAGTGGGGTTTCCCGGCGAGGCTCATTGTTCGATGGAGAGCTTGGGATAGACACCCTAAATGTTAAATATTATTTTTCTGTTATATATCATTTATGTGTTGCATATTAATGGGACAAGGATGGAATGTTTGCAACTGAACTCCATGTTGCCATGAAAATCCCTATGAAAAAAATATTGGGCCCTTAGACGAGCTCTAGTTAACACCCATCTCCCTTTCCCTGGTAAAACAGGGGCAACAATATCTGCATCTCCCTACCATTAGATGCATCTTAAGGTTCATGGGAACTATGTGGAAACACCTCCACGGGTCATTTCTGTAATATTTCATTCTTTTTTTTATGTTGTTACATTTATTTTTTACATTGTGTATGATTTAACTGTGGTTGACGTGATACATAATAGTTACAAGGTTTTCATGTGCAAATACTAAATCCAGCACGCCCCTCTTGCTCTTCTAGCAATGATACGGGCAAGACTTTCCATCCTACCCCTCCCCCACTAGCAGGCTCTTAAGGATTCAGAGCAATTAGTGCTGACACCTCGGTGATTCACATTCCGTATATTACCCATATGTGCAGATAAGCTACACACCGATGTCTACATCCCCACTATTCCCAGATATGCAAACTAGGGCTGGGGACCGACGTATCAGCACTGTACATCTAATATGTCATTATATTGTTTTTTGGTTTTTATGGCAGGAAACACTGGTTTTATGTATTAATTATGTTCTTATTAGCAAGACTGCAAGCTGTGCCCAATACGCCCCATGCTACCACGACCGAATATATGGCAACCACTAAACTCACACTAAACCCTAAGCTACGAACCACCCCATACGCTCAACAAAGTTACGGGCAAAGGAACTTACTCCCCCCACTTCAAGGGATCCGAGTCACCCCACCGAGGGATTACAATAGGACTCCTCCCCCCCCACGGGATTGTCGCAATGGCAATTAGGTCCCAATATGGAGACCATACCATTGTATATAGTTTAATCCATGTTGTTTATTTTTCCCTTTACCATGTTTTCTTTCCTACCATGACATCACAAAGTCAACAAGAC